AAGACCCTTCCTCTGTATCTCCCAACATGCCAAAACACATAACTAGAAAATGTTAACTGATACATGGTTGCTTTCCTGCTTGGTACCATCTCTCAAGTGAAAAAACAAAATCCCATCCTATTCACTTCCAGAATTTGACCTTGACAAGATTTTTTTTTTTATAATTTTAAGAGCTGATTTGACACTCATTCTTAAAGGCAGAAGGAAGCAAAGCAACCCTAATGGCTTCTATCTAAAATACTTGCTAAATTAAAGGAATGAAAATGAATTTATTTAAAAAAAAAAAAGGTTTTTACATCTATTTTGGGAAAGATAGTTATTCTGAACAGCTCTCAAACAACTTGGAATGTACATCTCTACCTTAAGAATAGCATTCCTTCTTTGCACTTTGTTCCACTTATGAAAAGGCTATGACATGAAAAAACCTAATTTGATATGAATTTGAGGTCAGTCCTAGGTATGTAGAATGTGGTTCAGGTGATTAAATATGTGAAACTAATTTTTGTTTTTAATGTGCATATCTCTGTCGTATGGGAGAAATAGGACAGAGGAGAGCAGTGTTGAAACAATGTCCAATTTCAAGAAAAATAATCTTGCAACTAGTAATCCAAATCTTCTAAACTTGTTTTTGTACCATTAAAATACAAACCTTTAGTAGAAAAAAGGCTAAATGCCACATTCAAATTTGTTATACCTTAGAATGCTGGCCCATCAGAAACATTTAATTGCTGGTAGATCTGTCTAGACCATGAAGTGATGGGGGCTAGACTCAAGCCCTATATCCCATTCCATATATTGATTCAACATTATAATTAGTCCTGAAATGTTAGTAATAATATCAAAATGGAGTTATCTTTTAAAAGGGAGGAAGTATTAAGTTACCAAGTTGAGTAATTTAAAAGCATTATCCATTTAAAAATGGAAGGAAGTTATTGAAAATATTTTTATGAGACATCTGCACAGCTCTAATGTATTCAATTCAATGACATGGAAAGTATGCCAAAAACATACTTTTCTTTAGTTGGCCAAGCAAAATCTATATACACCCAGCTTTGAGTTTCATGTCAAACATGAGAATGCATTTAAATTATACAGTTATCTCAGGAAACTCAGAATCTCTCTTACTTAAAGGTAATGACTTTCAAATCTATTAAACAAGGGTAATATGTGATAAAATCCTACTTAACACATTTTCTTTGTGCCAAACTTGTCAACAGTGTGGATAATTCTCCGATATCATTAACTATACAACTTAATTCCATGAGCATCATTAGAATGCAGCATAAAAAAACTTTCAAGAGTTTTATTTGAGATTTTTTCAAGTCAAATATTTCAAAAAATGAATTTATCAGTGTAGGGTAAGATTCACAAAAAGTCTCATCCCCCCCCAAAGCAATCATTATGATCATGTGACTCTTATCATAGAGATACTATTTAGTTTCTTTTCTTGGTGAAATATTTTGTGAAGTATTTACATATTTGGTTTAATTTAAAACATTTGATACCTAAAGGTAGTTCTCTCATTTTGAAAGAAACCTCAGGGTTATGTAGAGGTGGACCATTTCAAGTCAACAATCATACTTTTAGAAAAGATCTTCATCTTACAGAATTGATCTCAATTGTATGTTTGCAAGGGAGCCTAATTAACAGTTCTGAAGATTATAAGCTCATCGGCAAGGAATTCCAGTAGAGGGCTATATAGTCATCCTAAACATCAGCTTTACCTTCCTCCAGCACATTTTTAAATTTGGCAGATTATACCTGTCTTTATAGCATACAAATAATTAGGGTTAGGCTTTGTGAATTAACTATTTAAACAGATCCAGTAACCGTGAAGTTTGGTAATTTCTTTCTTGGTCTATTGGTCATTAATGTGAATTTTCCTACCCATCGCATACCTGAAACACATTAATCAGTGAAGTTATCCAGCCACTCATATTTCTCAGAGTCATAAGTATTTTTTGTGTTTACATATGACACCTTTAGAGAAACTCTTCATTGGTTTGGAGACGTATGTCTTGCTGTTCTTTCCCACTTAGTACATATAAATATTGATAGAATAGTCTGGGAGATGGACACTAGGCATGATAAATATGACCCCAAAAGACATGAATAAATTAGCATGAATAAATTACCACATACCCCAATCTCTTTGCTCTAAAATGTGTTGTGTTTGTGGAAAGTCATGATACTTGATTTTTCTACTACAAGTGTGCTTTCAGAAGAAAAATTTCCAAGCAAGTCCTTGTAGGTTGAGCCTTCCCCTATTAGTGAGTGGTGACAGTAGGAATAATGAAATTTACAGAATGTACTAAGACTGGATGAATGAATGACAAAGTTGGGCAATATGGAAAGGGAAGGCTATACTATGAAGTGTTGCTCTTTGCTAAAAGTATGTCAAAAATAAATAATGATCTATAAATGTCTCTTGAGGCAATGATGTCAGAGAACCTTTGACAAAACTGAAAAATTGGAAATTCTCTGAATGCATGTTTGGACATCTTGGCAGGCTGAGGCAAAGTCACAGCAAGCTGGATACTTACCATTTCCTATGGACTGGATAACAAAAGTACTCTTTGCTTCTCTTAGGAATTCTACCTTTCAGTGGTGGCCCTTTTGTGGGAAGGACCTTCTTTGCCTTGGGAGACTGTTATCCATGGCCTGGTTAAGTATTATAAATGAAAACCTAACTATTTCAGTTGTATTTGTTTTCCACAGTGTCCTTGGTGATACAGTACCAACAGGACAACCCAAGCTTTGAAATGTGCTGGCATGTGTGAAAACAATGGCTATAACAATGATAGTGTTTGAAAAGGAACAAAATCCCCAATCCATTACAAAAGAAATGAAATAAAATATGTAGGGAGACATGAACACAAGTTAATGAATCTATTCAAATGAACACATGTCCTCAGTAAGATAAATGTGGTTTTTGTATGTCTCTTTTCTGTGATGCACTACTTACTTACCAACTAATAGCCACACTTCCTGGTTTTTGCCAATGGTTAGAATGCCTTGCCCAAGATTATTATAAAGGATGCTATATTATAGTTGTTAAGTTAGGATGCACATTGTCAAATGTTCCTAAACTCAATGAATGTACAACCACGACTTGCTCTGGTTATAGTTTCCCAAGATTAGAAATGGAAAACCAAAATCATTTTCAACAACAACAAAAAACTGAAAGAAGTCTTAATGAAACTTCTTTGATTTAGGAAAAAAAAAAGAAAGAAAAAAAAGAGGAGGGTTCTAATTTCTTCCTCAAACCTGTCAGATGTGAAAGCAAACTAGCCCCTCTCACTTTATTTTGATAGATTAATCTCAAGAATGTGGAAGCATAGCGTTTCTAACAAAGGAAGCCTGGTGTGGAAATGGCAATGGACACAATGCATTTCTATTTGTTTTGAAATCATTTCTTGGGGAGATGTTGCTCATTAGATGTGAGCTACCTGTTCATCTTGCAGGCTTTTTTCAGATAGCATCTTTGTACTATAATCTTATATTTGAGAAGTAGCAGCAACAAAAATTTAGTGCTCTTATACTATAGGAAGCAAGGTTCTCTGAAATCTTCATGGTTGGAAGCACAAAATCAGAACCTGCGAACAAAGGAATGTTTGCTCCTAAGCACTTAAGAATCAGTCAGCCTAGAACCTACCCAGGATCCCTGAATGTGGGTGTTAGTTAGCAGGACTGGGCAGTCTATGGGGCCTAATGTAGTAGTAGGTCAGTATTTATCCCCAGTATACAAATGGACTTTGGGAGCCCATTCCACATAGAGGGATACTCTCTCAGCATAGACACATGAGGGAGGGCCTAGGCCCTGCTCCAAATGATATGACAGACTTTGAAGATCCTCCATGGAAGGCCTCACTCTCCCTGGGGAGCAGAAAGGGGATAAGATGGGGGTTGGGAGGGAGACAGAGGAGGGGGGCAGGGTAAGGGAACTGGGATTGACATGTAAAACAAGCTTGTTTCTAATTTAAATAAAAATTATCATAAAAAAATGTAAGAACTAGTTGGGACAAGCATAAGATAAACCCGAACATTCATTTAAAAAAAAAAATCAATCAGCCAAAGAAAGTTGCTGAAGTCTATTAAGTGGTCAAGAATTCCCCACTATAGTTCTCATTTTGCTCTTTATTCAAGAAGTAAACACTGGTTGCTAATTTCATATGAAATTAAAGATCAATATCTGGGAGACATATTGATTCTTTGATTCAAGAAGAGTGTTTAAATTGTACCTTATCTCCTTCCACCTTGGAAATGTACCACACATGCCCATACATGATGCTGTGATGAAAGGTTTCATGGGAATTTTAAGATGATCAGATGACCAGAGTGCTGTTTACACACACCTAGTATTGAGATTCTACCACAGTAAGAGGGCATTATTGCTTTTCCCAACAATTCTCATTCTATGTCTGGTGTCACCGCTTCTGTGCTCTTTTGATGACTATGAGATAGGAAAGTCAGTAACTTCTATAATTCATAGAGCCAGAAATTAATCAAATAAAGCATAGACTGTGCTGGGTACAAGAAGAAATACAATACCCAATACTAAGTGAACAATTTGCTTATCCCTTGGGAAGTAACTGTGCTTCTAATAACCAGTGTGAAGGGCTATATGATTTAGAATAAATGTGCTGTGTGATGAAAGTTGCCTGACAAGTTATACTTTACAAGTCCATGTTCTTGGAGGCAGAAAGCAAACAGATAGAGTTCACAACTAAAAGGTGAGAAAGTGTTGAAAAAACAAGACACACCCAATGTTTAGCACAGCATCACAGGACAGACAGACACTCTGACCAAAGAGCTGACATTTGCGTGACCGTGACCTTGAATCCCAGGTGTCTCCTTTCTCATGATGAGGATACTAATTGGACAATGATACCCTTTTGGTCTTTATTTCTCCAAAACATGAAAAGGAACAAATGACAGAATGGAGTAGATGAAGATGAGAGGAGCCATTCCACAGGACAGAATAAGCTGTGCCACTGGGGTGAAATCACAAACAATTACAAACTTTATTTTATTTTCCTGTGTCAATAATGTATACCAATTTTAAGGAACAGTACTGTTAGTGCCTGTCCCACCTAAAGCCGTGCACAATACACACAAAATAAAATAATCAAACAAATAAGATGAAATCATTTTACACATAATAATTAACAACCCTGAACATCTAGAATCATATTTTCCCTACAGCATGAAGACTGAAAAAGGCAAACAAATCAAAAAGCTTGAACTTGAAACTTGACCAACAGCAAGAATTTCTTGGGATGTTCTCTGTGAAAATTCACTACAAGATTATTGACATTCCAAAGATGGAATGTATTTAAAAAAAAAAAAGTGCAACATCTTTCTAATGCTTTAACCATGTATATCCTTGGACTGTATTTACTTAGTAGTTCTAGGCTAGCTTTCCACTTTTAAAATCTAAAATAAAGTTTACAAAAATTAGAACAGGACATGTTAGAATGTACCACTGAGGGTCACCAGTATCACTAATGTCGGTGGGCTGCAGTATGTTGTTATGGAAAGGTACCAGTGCCACATAGATTAAAACCAGGTTAACTGGATCTTCTTAGTGATTTCAGTAACCACCATGATTATTACTCTGCTTGGTCTAAATTAGAAAGATGAACAAACCTGCAAGTTGGCAAAAACAAAAGAGTACTTTTCCAAAGCTAAACATTACATTCTTTAAAGAAAAAAAAAAAATGAGCATTTGGTCAGCTGTTGTGCAATTTTAATGTGATGGTGTTAAAGAGAAGTCATAATTATTTTTTCTCTTGCAAAATAGAACCGTCTCAGTATGGTTAGGTCAATTCTCACTCTTTGAATAGGAATCTCATCCACTATATGCCCCCTGGGGGCAGGAATCTGGGCTATCTTGCTCATTGTTCAGCTACCAGGAAGTAGTATATTAACTGACCTATTGAATGGGTAACAAGTATCTATTCACTCAGTCACTAAATGTTTATTAAACAATGCACAGCTATGATCACTGAGTGGAAGAAGAGAAAGGAGGTCTTAGTAACATTTATTTCTTAAGTATCTTTGAATCAACACAAAGGGCCATGAAGGTCTCAGAGAAGTCTCTGTCTGAGAAGTGGGCAAAGCCATTCCATTTTCCTTACTTAGTAGAATCACTGCTTTTTGGAATGTTGGGTCTATCTTTGGAATAGAAAGAGCTGCTTTTTGTTTTTGTTTTTTTCCCAAAGGGTTAAAACTCCCTGGTGTCATCTTCCTGGGAGACCCCAGTCCCTTTGACACAGCTCTTCTTTGTGTCAGACACAGTAGACTTGTAAAGGTCTATCAGTCACCCTGGTTTCTTTTCCACTCGAGTTGCTAGCGAATTCAGGGAGTTTGGATTAGAAGGTGAATGAAACAGGGCTCAAGCCAGCCTTCTACATAAAAAAAAATAAAAGGAACTCGCACCATCCACCATCTGTGCCAGACAGAGCAGATGTGCAATAAATACTTTGGGGGAGGGGTGGTGTGGAAACGGTGGCTCTAAAAGTCCAGGCACATCCTAAGTTCCACTTTTCTCCCCAGCCTTTCTCTTTGGCCTGCCTGAATTAATTGTGGGTGATTCTTGAGGCCTCTGACATTCTCTTCATGGCTACAATTCCATGGAAATCAGTACAGTTTTCCTGCTGTCCTCTCAATAAGTTTAAAATCTCATCTGACAATTATTGCTTCTTAGAAATGAACGTGCAGAATCATGAAAACTAAGCCATTTTCTTCTTTTATCTCTATCAATACTCAAACTCAGTAACAACTCAAAGCAAACAACTCAGGTGAAAAGAAAAACTCACTTATGTCTTCAATGTCCAATCAACATTGCTGAATGGGAGAACAGTATTTGCTATACTCTACTATATACAGATACACTTTGTTTTATTTGTTTTTCGTCCATGCACTGTGTAATGGGGATCACAACAACATTCCCAAACAGGCACATGAAGGAGGGTACATGTTCAGTCATGACTGGAACAGTATTGTGCAAGCCATGGATGCCACTGAAAATAAAACTGATGGAAAAATCCCAGGCAATGTCATGTCAACATGGGACCTGGACACACATGATGACCAAAAGGATGACAGATCTTTTTTACCTTTTTTTTTTTTTTTTTTTTTTTTGGATGAGGTTAGTCTTCCTGCTTGCAGGGGGTTGGGTGGTAGATAGGAGGAGGTCTGGGATGGGATACCTGGGAAATTAGCTGGGCTGGAAGGGTCTTGCTAATCACAGTTCGGAGCTAAAGAGATAACCGGTGAAGGGTTCTGCTTGTTCCTGGGATTCTAGGCACATTATCCCCGTACCTGTTGAACAAGAGTGCCAGGCACCATATCCTTAGACTACATCTAGAACCATCACTTTTCCTGGCTTCAATGCAGTTCTCTTGCTTCTCTTCCTTGAGGCGGTTCACCTCTGTTCATATCTCGGAGATAAGCATAAAATTTGGTAATATGGTCAAGACGTACTTCTTCCTCCTTCCATGCCCGAATCCTTCCTTAATCCAAAGTAATGTTTATAGTGTTTGGAGGAGGTGAGGAGAGAATCATAATGATTTCCAGAGTGATCCCAAATCCATCCATCTTTGGGTGGATCACCACTTCCCATAAAGGGAAGTAGGGTCCTAGCTCTTCAAACAAAATGAAGCAAAACCAAACCAAAAGCCAACCGCCACCTCCCTGACCCCACTGGAAACAAAACAAAACAAAACAAAACAAAACAAGAAAAGCAGGTTAAAAACCTAAACCATTCATGAACTTGGAGAGAGTACAGCCCCTCTAGGCTGAGCTGCAAGATGACTCTGCCTCCACGCCTTGTTCAAAAAAGATGATGCCCCGGGAATGGGAGATGGTGGTTTCTGACTTCCGCCCTAGTACAGAGTATGTTCTTGAAGCTGGATTCCATCAGCAGGTTAAGTGAACATGACAAATGTCAGTTTCCTCTGTTCCTTATACATAACTCTTTATGTATATATATGTATATATATAAATTTACTATATCTGATTGTTTCTTTAGAAGCCTTTTATGTGGCAGTAGGCCTCCAGGGAGGAGAAGAAAATGTACAAGAGCCACAGGAGCACGAACAGGCAAGACGTGAGGAGCTTGGCAGTCCGGGGCCCACCCAGCTCACCTCCTATTTCTGGCCTCCGCCGGTACAACAGCACCCCCACGTTGATGAATGCAAAAATGGTGAAGAGAGTGACAGAGAAAGCTAGTGTGCCAGGGGACACTCTGAACTGTTCCCCGTTGGCTGCATGGTAGATGGCAGCAATGGACCAGGCCACACCAATTCCCAGGAAGACATTCACAGCATTGCTTCCAGTGACGTTGCCTATGGATGCATCTGCATACTGGTCCTGGGTGGCTGCTACTTTACTGGCAAATGTGTCTGCAGAGAAAGGAGAAAAAAAGAGGCTGTGACACTGAGTTAACCTTATATACATGCCCATGGGGTGCCAGGAGCTTCTACTGTGTGGTCTAGACTCAAGCCCACAGTAGGGTTCTGTGTCTTTGAGTCAGTCTCCTGGTCAAAGGAATAGTGCATAGATATCAGGAGTCAAGGGCTTGGTGCTGCCTGTGTTACTGACAGAGAAAGTCCTCTAAATCCATTTCTTTATCCACAGATACCACAGTTCTTTGTCTATTAGGCTTACATGGCAGTTATTTGTTGTTGTTGTTTTGTTTTGTTTTCAGAAGTGTTTACAGCCCAAGTTATATAAAAATCCAGCAGGGGCCTTCAAAAGACTGACTATTACAAGGCTCCATCCAGCTGGGGCTCAGAAATCTATTTTCACAGAATCCCAAAAGATTTCTAGGTCACTATGTGTTGAAAATGGTTGCTGAGGGTTCTACTAAAATGCTGTATCAGCAGCTCTTGCTTACAGGTGAGCAAGCTAACATGTCAGGAGAGAGTTCCAAAGATTGAGGAGCAAGTCAATACTTCAACTGAAAAGAATCAGACTGTAATCATAGCTGACATTTGCCTAGAGCCCTGACAATAGAAAAGTAAATCCACCTGCATGATGGTATTGATTGTGATAATAATAGGGTCAAAGATGATAAGCAGCAGGTTCCATGTCACATAGCTAAGAGGGAATGATGGTGGATTTGGGACATCTGCCTCTGGCCTTGAGGATTCACATTGTCCACTGTACCATCTTATCCCTTGCCGTGTCACAGACACCAGTAGGTATCCTTCAAGGTCTCTGTTGGCCAATAGCCTTCACTGTGCCATTTTACGAAGATAGGAATGTCATGGCCCACTATAGGGCAATTGTTATGATAGCAATAGCTTATCAGCACACAGAGGTTTCTAATCCTTCTTCACAATGAACTCTGTGACCCCCGAATCTCCATCGTTCTTCTGTGGAATGGGAATAACTGATAGTCACTTAGACTTGCTGTTTTTAAGATGGTATAGAAAATGGAAAATGCTATTTATACTTCTTGGCCAGGGTAGCTGGCCTTTTGTTGTTTTATAAAAACAATAAAAATAAAGTAATCTAGATTAGTTCACAAGTTGGGATGGGTTGAGCTATGGCTCCACCTGTTAATCATGAAGATATTCTATTTCTGGTCTGTGTGTTGCCTAGTTCCTGACAAGAAGGTTCTTTTAGGGATGGTGAGGTGGCTTAGTGGGTAAAGGTGTAAGCCTGTTGTCCTGAGTTCAATCCCATGAGATAGAAGGAACACCCTCCACACACACACACATTTGCTCTCTGTCACATACTTACTCAATCACAAACATATTCTCTCACACACAGAGCTGTTTTTTCATTGTCCCTATGAAGTACTGTGTGCAACTCATTCACAATAGATGTTGATAATGGCCACACTGAATTCCCATTTGTAGCTCTAGTTAGTGATGGTGAATGTTGTAGGACTACCAGCTTCTGGATGTCCTGCATGCTTTGCCAGGGACCCTTGAATCACTTTCTGCTCCTATTCTGTCATCAATATCCTTATGTACAACTTTCCATGGGAACAATATGAAAAGTGTGTGTGTGTGTGCCTGTCATCCTGTCTGCTGCTTTGTGATGGGGAAGAAGGTTATTTAGGTTGACCAGAAGCCTGCTGCATCTGTACATCATATTCTTTCTGAAGGGGAGCTGGTCAGCCCTGAGAGCTTGTGTTATTGGTAAGGATCACCACCTGTGATGGATGGCAGATTTTGTATATCTTCTACAATTAAAGAGATGAAGGAAAGCACTAAATACTCCATACAACATGCACAGGTTATGTGTATACTGCCATCTAAACATCTAGAGGTCTTATAGCCAGATGCAATTACTATTTTGTACCTCTTGGATAAGGGTCCTGGACAGAAGAAAAAAAAATTTAGATCAATGTGGTTTCAGGGCCCATTGCCAGTCCATACCATATTGCCTATCCTAGGAAGACCATTGGTTTCTTTCCTCTTAGTTTGTTACAAGTCCCTCTGTTCCTTCCTTCCAGAAACTTTGAAGCAGGTGTTTGTCAAAGAGTTTTTTTTTTTTTTCTGTTTCAAGGGGAAGAAGCCTGGGAAGGTACAGACCATCTGCTAATCCACCTTTTGGATTTGCTCTGCCTTCTGTGTTTGTCATCACACACAGCAGCTTAATCAGAAGCCCCAGAGATGGGTGAATAAGGCAAGCCAGACACATCCCAAGGGTCTCTGAATTTCATTATTAAATGTTATCGGAGCTGGTGGTGCTGAAGCGGCCTAAAAGAAAAGAGGTTTTGTGGTTTTCTTCTCCAAGGGCAGCCAGTGTAGTGGGACAAAGAGATAAAGAATTAAGAAAGCATGGTGGAAGAATGCAGCTTAGGAGAGAGTCACTGCTGGAGAGTCCCTGAGCCTTGTTCTGATCTGAAGTGACTGTCATCGCTGTCTGGTGGTGACAGGTGGCCAACCAAGTGAGGTGGGGGCAGTCAGAGAAAGAGAGGTTCTCTGTTGATGCTGGGACACATTACAAAGCATTCTCCTCCCCTAGTATGTGGTTCCAGGGGTCCTATCTCCACTCTGCAGGGGAAAATAGCATGGTTAAAAAGTCAGGTGTCCAAAAAATCTGACCACCCAATCTGGTCATGTTTGCTGGACTGGAGAGCATGGCTGGTCTGTGGCAATTTACACTTTTGCTATTTTTCAATAGCCTGTTTATGTGAATGTTATGTGAACATTCCAATTTGTAACAACGGGTTCTAGTTTCAAATATTTTTCTCTGGAGTCCCTGACAATTAGGAGACCAAATTGCCAACTTGCCACATAAATAAAACATGTTCTGGGCCTCTTTGAGTAGGCTTTATATACTTGGGTCATTCGCTGACATTTGTTTATGTTTTTCCATTTCAAGAGTGATGTAAAAATGTTGGAAGAATGCATGCAAATCCAAATCATTAACCTTGACTGTGATAGCAAGCCATAGCTTAGGGTTCCAAATGCTATGTGCAATGGGGTCTTACCAACCAGCCTCTGTTGCTTCTTTGCTGCTTCATGCACAGAAGAACATCCCACACACCATATGTTAGAGGATGATAAACCCTACCCTGAGCACACCAAGCCTACAACCTGACTATGGTTGAACAAGACAAATGCTGCTCCACAAAGAAAAATCCAAGAAACTGCTATTGCCTTGGTCTCTGAAGGAATGCAATGTTGGGAAGTTGGCACATTAAAGAAAGAGATAGAAAAAAATCAGATGTCCGATGCCATTCACATACATTCAGACATGTTGATGATGGCATACATCTGCTTTTGTACATGCATACACCCAGCTGGTTTCTCACTCATTATCTATCACCTTGAGCTGTAATTAATGGTATACTAATTGTAAAGTCTACAACATTTAGTCCTGTCCTCTTAGTCTGGATGACTATCAGGAAGAGGGAAGGTTTCCAGGAGTTAAAGCACACATCAGAAAGTTAGGTCATAACTGTCCTCCCTCGAGCTGTTTTCAATTCACTTTATATAACCTTGGCCAACACATCAAGGCAGCATACAAGAATAACCTTCCACCCCCCCTCCGTTTTCTTCTAGGACTTTTTCTTTCTTAACCTGGATCTCTTCAACTTTATAGTTACTTAAACATCTCTCCTGGGAATGGCCATCCTTACAGTGTCATAGATGGGACATAGGCTTCTCTGTTAAAAGTCAAGAGTGTTACCTCACCATAGCTTATCTTATTCTCTACTCCTTGGGGATAACTGCCTAGTTCCAAAGTGATTTTTGCTTAGGAGTGACTTTTCTGGAGCCTAGCTTCATGGGGAGATATGGTTACTGCTCCTTCAGCACATACAGATTTTGGTCACTCTAAGACATGATTCATTACATGCAAAGGTTCATGGTGTCAAAGGAGAAGGCAAATCAGTGGGCAGATACTCTTGCAAATACCTGAAGGCTCCTTTTAAGGCATTACCCCTTCCAATTCTAGTTACCTCATCTAAAATGAAGAATCCAGAAGATCTCTAAACTTCTAATACTGCTGTTTATTGGGTGGTCTGCAAATACGCCAACATATTAAGTTTGCTTTGGGATTTGTTCTACAGTTTGGATGTGACCAGTTGTCTTCATTAGAACTATTGATGATTTGGGAAAGGAAGATTATTCAAACCCAGGCTATTGCACTGACCAAGCTGTGTTAGTTTTAATAAATTAAACCACACAGCACAGCCTTTTATCTTTTGACTTTAGGTAAGAAATGTTGGTAAAATTATTACCTCCCACCTTTATGTGGGAAGCCACCGTGTAAATGGGATAGAGGAAACCATGCCTCAAAGGCTGTCTTTAATTTTAATAGTGTTTACATATTATTGGCACCAGATATATGTAGAAACGTTTGCTTATAAATATGTATTGGGGATCCACTCGAGGCTTATTTACTTAAACTCTATAGGTAAAGTATTTAGGAATATACCTCTTAAACAAGTACCTTAGTTCCAAAGCTAGAGAGCCACAGTTCTAAATTTCTAAAATAAGAGGACAGGTTTCTGGTGTCCACAGTGTGAGGCCCTACTGGGAGGAATTGATGCTAGTGTTCTGGGGAAGCAGCTAATCAGAGGTGGGAAGCAGCTGGTTTCCCTTGGAAATATTGATGCCCTAGATATGATGGCCATTTTACTCATAAAACAACTTGGGTGGCCCTAGTGGAGGTGCTGGTCCTGCTGTAATCTCACTCTGAGTTATGCTTCCTGCTTTTTTTTTTTTTTTTTTTTTTTTTTTTAAAGACACTATTTCTGCACATCTACACTGAAAAGCCAGTGGTGGGGTGAGTGAGTGATCTTCCTAAATGAAGTAGTTTCTGGCTCTTAGAGAAGAAAAGGTAGAAGTGTATATACCTCCTAGGGTTTGAAGGGAAATGAGTCACCACAAATGGAATCTAACGAGTGCTTGATGTTACTGTTCGATTATACAAG